TTCAACATGGCGGACTCCATGGCAGGCGACCCAAGGTGTCTGTAGATAAAAATAACTAATTCTAAGGGAACAAATTATAATATATATATTTTTCTTGTTGTGATTATATATTAACAAAAACATCCCTATGAAGATAATATTCCATTTCTGCAAATAAATCATTCTAAATGTTACACACTGGACCTTTAATGACATTCCTTCAGCTGTACTTCATTTTGCGCTATAAACATTATACCTGCTAAACGTCATTATTTTAGCATTGTTATTGTGAGTGTGAGCATTCTGACTACAGCTGAAACAATTAATCAACCAATGAGTCAACTAACAGAAAATGAATACTAGCTAAATTGTCAAAAATACATCAGTTTTAGCTTCTCATTTGTGAAGATGTTCTGGTAAATTGTAATGGACATCTTTCTCTCTTCTGATATTTTATAGACCAATCGAGAAAATTACGCAGATTAACTGAAAATTAACAACTGTTAGTTGAATCCCTATTTCTGTCAGCATTTCACTCAAAGCACTACTGTGCCTAGATACATACTTTTTTTTATCCCGAGGGAAATTCAAGTAATTCCTAAGTACAGCCTTACAGAGCTGCTACTGTGGCTGTAGATTCTTGCAGTCTGCAGTCGACTGGATCCACTTTTATTGCTTTGTTTGCATTACCATTTCTGGTTAATAATCTCCAAAACATTGTACATGAATGTTTCCATTTTGAATATTATTTATATATATATTAGATATATTTTGCCTGTAAAAATGTAACACAGGTGTGAGTTACCATTTATTAATCGAGTGTTTAGTTGACTTAGGATGGGGCATTTCTCGGAGTAACAAAACAGCAATAAAGTCGTGATCCTGTGTGCGCACAGGGCTGTGTGAGTGTTTGAGCAACTGTTTGTAAGTGAGTCAGAGAGGAGAAGGTCAAGTTTTGGGGGGTTTTGGTGGTTTAGCCCGGTTTCTCTCAACAGGCCAGTCTCTCTCCACCCTGAGTCTGCAGTATCTCACCTCCTCACCCTGTCTGCTCACTGTCACTCTAATGGAATCAGAGCGAGTGAGAGTCCAGGGGGGCCAAATACACGAGGAGAAACACCAGTCTCACCTCATTGTGTTTTAACAGCCACCAAGGATATGCCAGGAATGTACCCTGTGCATTAGTGTAAATGTATACATATTTCACTAATCCGATTAAAACACAGTTTACCAGTGCCAAAATCCATTATAGTGATGTGTGGGTGTTTCTGTATGAGTGTGTGTCTCTTTCAGGTAAAGGGCAAAATGAGCACAGTCACTAATAGACTAATTATCTACTATATAAAATCGAAGGCTTATTGGTACTACTTTGAAGTTAAGGTGGATTTCCTAAAGGCTGGAATCCAAGATCCAAGAGAGATATAATTAGTTTGGGTTAGTTAAGAGAAAGAACAGGTTAAATAGGAAAATAAGCATCTAAGGCGGCATCTACTGTATTCTTCTCATGGACAAGTTGACATTTTAGTCCGAGCAAAAGTGGCTGAAATAAAGCCAAAGTAAGAACATCTCTCTTACTCCCAAAGAAAGAATGTAAACACACTAAATTCCTGTCAGAATGGCAAGGAACCTCTGACAGTCATGGATGGCTTTGTATATTTAAGTCAACACTCTGTGTATACTATAATCAAGTGTTAAGTCTCTCTACAGATAACTTATTATACATAAACCACAGTGTGTGTTTTTATGTGCACTTGACTCCTCCTGGAACATTTGACACTAAGTTTCTTTAAAAAAAAACTATTAGTAAGCTAAGGTGTGAATTCTGTGGCGAGCTGTAAATCACACATTGCAGTCAAAAACTCAAAATGTGACAAAATCTGATTGTCTTGCATGTCATATATAAAATGTACTGATGAAATAAGGTTCACAAAATATATTCTCAAATTGAACACAATTCTGTCAAATCTTCAATTCAACACAGATGGTAAATCACGGATGTAAAACAGGAGAAACCAACAAACACTTTTTGTGTATGTGGAATAAAGTTGACGAGCTAAAAGATAACTTATTTAAAGTTACAATATATAATATTGTATCTTTATCAAACAGACTTTATGGGGTTAAACCTAAATTAATGCTTCTCTGAACTGATTTTGGTTCTATTTATGGTTGTTTGCCTTGTGATGATCATAGCCTACATCACTGGTTGAAATCACATTGCTCATGTCTGTTTCTAACACACACACACACGCACACACTGTGCCACAGTACCCTTGCAAAACACACCATTTATCTTGACTTGAATTCCTACACCCTTCCAACCCTCAACCCCACCCTCCTCCACCTCGTTTTTCTTAGGATTCCCCGTTCAACTTGATCTGTTACCCATCACCAGCACTTTGTTCCCCGCACCCGTTAACCCTCTTGTCTTCTTGCATTTTTAGTTTTTAAGATGAGCAGCCAAGAGAAAACTTTAAGGGGAAAAGAGAGTGAAGTAATAATGTATGGGAAACCTTCACCTAAAAGCCACAAGCCCTATAACTTTAACTATGGTAGGCCTATAGCTGTTATTATTATTAATATTATTATTATGACGGTAACCACCTGTCATGTGTGGTGCATCATAGTTTAAAGCAGGCTTTTTTTAAACTGTCGGCCTACACTTAACACAACAGGTAAAACTAGAATTGACCAGAGATTACTCTTAAACAAATTCAGTTCTTCACCAAAACAAATTATTTACACGCCAAAGTGGTTGTAAAATTAACAAAAGTCACACCTTTTCCGTTCTACTATCAATTTTCTGTACTGTGAGTTTTAATAGGATACTAAACTGTATTAATAGATAGCCTAGATCTATATATATAATAATAATAATAATAATCGGGAATTCTTACCTTCAAAAAATCTCTGTAACGCTTCTGTTTCATCTACCACGTCCATCCTAGCGGGTCCCACATAAAAAATCCATTAAAGTCTCCCCTTGTCCGAATGAAATAAATTCGGATCGGGGAAACTTTCACATGTACATCACGGAATCCAGATGATATCCTTAGTGACTTCTTCTCTTCTCGTTTCAGTTCACATAAATCCAACGCTTCACGCGGAGAACTTCTGTCTGCTGTTCAGCAACTTGGCACTGGATTGACGTCCCTCAGCCAAACGCCTCCAATGACGCCGAGGAAGGCTATAACTTTAAAGATAGACTTTTAAAAAAAAATTTAAATCAAGGTGCCAACAAAAATGAATAAAATCCCTATAGTCTATAACAACATTAAACAACTTTTCTTCAGGCGCACCTTCCCTTCAGCTCCCACAAACTGCATAATAAGCTTTGGTTTAGTTTCGCATAAAGTACCATCATCCTGCCATCATCATGTGGGGGGGATAAAAAAAATCGGAAGGGTAATATAAAACTTTACAAAAACTGTGCGTAAAAGTTGGCGAAACTTGACTTCCTAGTAGTCCCTTCTGTTGATTCTCTCCCTCCTTCGCCTCTCCCTCTCAGACAGGATGTGTGCAGCAGGGTCGGAGGAGAGGAGCTGAGGCAGGTGAGGGATGTGCGCCAGGCTGCTGCAAATGTCCCCGGACAAAAACAACAAGTTGGAAAGTGTCGTTTGTACTCAAAACTTTCTTTAAAGTTACCTTATCTTACATTTTTTAGTTGTTTCCGATATTCTTTATCTCATTTAAAGACCGCGTAGCCTACTGTATAAAGAGCTGCAACAATTAGTCGATTCATGATGATGTATCATTTCAAAAGTGCTACAACTTTGTGGGTCCCAAGCTTCTTAATTCTGAGAATTTGCTGCTTTTCTTTGTCACATATTAGTGGTACATAAAATATCTTTGGACCAACCTATTGGACTGACGAAGACATTACTTTGAGCTCTAGCAAGTAGTGGTGGGCATTTTTAAATTTTTTTTTTTGGCATTTCATAAAACTGATTGACAAAAATAATCAGCAATCAATAATATACTTTATATTAAAACAATTGTTAGTTCCAGCTCCTGTCTATGAGACGTAGGCTGTGACTTATATTTCAAATACAAATATGCTTTAAAACAAAGCAGCTTTTTTGAAAAATGAACTTTGCACCTGGGTACAACATTTAAATGGACTTGTTGCCTATATTGTACTTCATTATATGACACATATTGCATGTCTTACTGGCCTGGGAGAGTAATCCTCCTCAAGTCCTGATGGGAGTATTTCAGCCATTTAATCTCACCTGCTCAGTTTTGGTTCTGACACTTTTATTGTGTGTGAAAAGCCCATTTGTTGTATAATCCTCCCAAGTTTAACTCCAATATTGGTTTTCTCAATTGGAATTCTTGCTTTCCTCTCTGGTTAAATATGATAGACCTATTATAGTTATGGTATTATATATATGGTATGGTAACTTCAACATTAATATCAACATTGCTTCTAACCAGGTGGTTTCCAATCTTTTCCCTCAAGGGACCCCTATTCTATCATTCAGTAAACTGATTAATTATGCCAACATTTCCTGTCAATATTACATCAGAGAAGAGTTTTCAGTAACTTTCATCAATGTCTGTATTATATATTTTTTTAACAATAATCCACACTTTATAGGCGTCTTTTTTGACAAATCCAGTGTTTTCTACCCTCCCTTTTCGTCACTCATTGTTCTATTAGCTTTTTGGTTGTTTTAACTACTTTTCTAAAGCAGGACGAGGCTGTTTATCAGAATGTGAAGGCTCTCTGCATAAAGCTTGTGTTCAGATCTTCATTGTCTTCTTTTTACTTTATATCTTAAATAATCATCTAAACTTTACACTTTTGTTTAGTTTTCTTCACAGAAATGAGCAGAATGATGACATATAGGCCTATTGTGTATATTTTAAAGTTTTCGTACACCCCTTAAAATCAAGAAGGCTTAGCGACCCCCATGAGGCTTTGGAGACCCCTAGTGTGGAGTCACGACCCCCTGGTTGGAAACCACTGTTCTAACCCATTTGTCACATTTTTAAATCTTTTAACCTTGTGCAGCACATCACTGGCCCCACACATAACAGCGGGCATACCCTTGACTTAATTGCCTGAACAAGACTGACTTTGTCTCTGATCGTAAATGTGTTATGATGCATCTTTACTACCTCCACTAAACCAGAAACGTATAATACTTTCTTGGGCAGTCACATTTTCCAACCGTTTTTCTACTCCTCACTTCGCCAATATTAATGACCGAGTTAGTTGGTTTAATGATTCGTGTACATCAGCCCATTACTTCTCCGCTCCATACACTTCCAGGGATGTCCCAGTTATTGGTTCAACGATAACATTAGATAACAAAGAAGGGAATAGGATGACAGATGAACTTGAAGTCCATCAGCTCTATATGAGGGAGCTGTTGTTTAAAGTGAATCAGACTAATAAAGATGCACACGCTGCCTACTGGCTTAATAGTTAGTAATAAACACAATCCAGGGTTTTTGTTTAGCAATATTAAGCAGCTTATAAATTCATTTCTTCTTGCTATTCCTGCCTCATCTTCTAACGACTGTCAAAAATTCTTATATTTTTTTACTGGTTTCTAGTCTCTCACATCCTTGTCCATACCTGACTATTTTAAAACTGCCAGTGTTCGGCCACTTCTTAAAAAAAAACCTCTCTTTACACAGCCCAGTTAGAGAATTACAAATTAACTTATGAATTAACATTTTTCTCCGAAATCCTGGAAAACCTGTTACAGACCAGCTCCTGAAGCTGGTGGAGGGTCATAAATTATTTCATAAACTTTATAAACACAATCTGGCATTCCCCACAGAAACTGCATTACTAAGAATGTCAAATGTATGTGTGCAGACGAAGGTGAATATTCCAATTCTTATTATAATTAATTTGACTGCGGCCTTTGATGCCATCGATCACACATTTTACTTGATAGTTTGCATAACTGTGGTGGCAATTCTGGTACAGCTTTAAATTGGTTTCATTCTTTGTACAAAATATACTTTAATGTTAATAATAATCATTTGTCATCTTCTAGTCCCCTGCTGTGTGGTGCCCCTCAGGGGTCAGTTTTTGGTCCAATTCTCTTCTCATTGTGATACCTCTGGGTCACCTAACCTATTAACTAGAACTAGCCATCTCGCATTATCCCTGTTTCCTCCACTGTCAATCAGTACAAGATCTGACTGATCCTGACATATAAGGCACTGCATGACTTTGCCCCCAGTTACTTTTCTGAACTCATTCCTCATTCCGCTCCTCAAATCTTGGCCTTTAATCCATCCTTCCCTCCAACTGTAAAACGAATGCAGCCCCAACCCTTGGGGATCATCTTCCCCAATTGCTCAGATTTGTTTAATCATTGAAGCATTTTAGACAGTTCCTTAAACCCAACTCCAGGCCAGCCTTTTTATAGATCTCCTTCCCTGTTTCTGTTTTTGTGCATTTGATCGATCTCTTGTTTCTTTGGGTTTCATTTTATAGTTTATTATTTTCTATTATTTTCTTGTATATATTATGTGTGTTTTAAAAAGGGCCATATCAGTAAAGCTTTACACTTTATTTACAGTTATACTACTGAGGTTTCTCAGATTTTAAAGGCTTCTGATGCGAATTTGTGATTTGTGGGTTATAGAAATAAAATGGATTTCACTTTGCTTTAACTATAAATAAACAGTAATAACAGTATGCAGTTAAGTCAGGCCTGAGGATGCTTCAGAAAAAGCATTCCAACACACTTGATCTAATGTCACTATATGCTGTAAAGTGTTCAATGCTGTTCAGTTTTAACCTGATTCCTGGTACTAGAAATAAATATTTTCTCTCTCCCTGATCTAGCAGCAGAAAAACATTTGTAAAATTTGATCTACAGTTAGTTTTAGCTGTTTAGAAGACTTGTGGGGCCTGTTTGAATTCCTCCAGCTTAAACACCATACAGTGTAAACAGGAGTGTTTTGTGTCAAGGCTTCTTGACAAGGATTTGAGGGAATGATCCATTTCTCTAAACCTTATCAGCTGCATCCCACCCCCCCTTATAACAATGCCACTGTGTGCAGCCCCCACAGCCTTGACGCCCACCCCCCCTTCGCCCACATGTGAGATGCTGTTGTGTTGTCTTGTTCCCCCACAGCTGGAGCATCTCCCTCTCCACCCCTCTGCTTTTCCTCCATTCAACACAAACAACGCCTCCGTTCTTTCAGCCACACTATGCAGATTGTTTCAGAGGACAAGCAAGAAAGAGAAACAGATAGAGGCTGCAAGGGACAATGAAACAGCTGGCTATGCTAAAGCAGTTCATTTTGGTATTCTATATTTCTTATCTCATATCGCTCTGTAACTACATTGCTGTGTGTGTGTGTGTGT